GAAAGTTAAAAGTTTGGTTTGGGGAGAAGTCCAGAGCTGCCTTTTCGAAATTAGTGTATTTAAATTGAAATACGGGGGACATTTTTCTTTGCAGCTAAGTACCTTTGAAAGAAGTCTGGCGTGTTGGTCTTCGGTTGAAATTAGCTCGAGACATCCCAAAGCTTCGAACCCCCATCGACAGTTGGCAGCATTTCCGAACCACACCGCCACAGTGGGGGCGGAAAGTTCGAGTATGTTCTCTTTGGACAATCACGGAATTTACTTTTGGGGGTATTCCAAACGCTACGTAGACCAATCCAACGAACGTGAACTTTTCGAAAGTGTGCGTTTAGTGGGCAATGGCCCTCCCTAACATCAGAAAAAAACCCCATGTCGATATCTGCGCTCGTTTGGGCACAGGAGTCAGAAGAAACGAAACTACCCCGTAACGTGAGAATCGCTCCTCTGGGAGCAGCTGACATTTTCAGATCTAGTTGGTATTTGGCATCCATTTCCTCAACTTCGGCCCAGATCCTGTCATAGTCTCCTGCATCTGCATCTTGAGTCGTAAAGCATTGCGTAAAATAACTTGTTATTTTACCTGCTCCTAAACCTTTGCTGGCACTACTATTTCGATTTCGCTTCATGTTGAAGAAGCCACAACACAAAACAAAGCTGGCGACACGGCCGGCTCAGCGAACGCACAAACGGAAGCGCCCGGGAGTGGGGACGAGCCGCAGCCGGCTGGGGCTCTGAGGGGAGGGAGGGGGAGGAGGAGAAGCGTTGGCCGAACGGCAAGCGGCGCGAAAGGGAAGGAGTGGGGAAGGGAAGGAGGCACTGCGGTGTGGCCTTCTCGAAGCGTCCAGGCGTCATCGGTCGTGCCGAGAGTCACCGAGTCGGCAGCAAGGTGCACCAGTGGCTCAGCCTATTACACGGACGCAGCATTTGACGGTACGCGCGTAGCCGTCGCTTCGCTCCGGCAAAAAATTGGGGGGGGCTGACCCCCCCCCGCCTGGCGGCGGGGGGGGCTCAGCGCCCCCGCGGCACCCCACTTCCGACGCCACTGATGAGTAGTAAGGAGGACACTATTGGACACTTTTTCCCTGGAGGACACTATCGGACACCTTGAGCGTGGGTAACCAAAGTAAACCTAAGTTATGATCTTGAGGGGGGTAACCAAAGTGAACCTAAGCAGGTCTGGACCCGCCCCTGTGGTTGGTACTTTTGGACACCTTAAGCAGAGCAAACCTAAGGGGCCCGGGCCTCAGTGCGCGCCCCTTCTGGTCCCGCCGCGAGGCGAAGCCGCGGCGCGCTCCCCTCCCTCGGCCCGCCCCTGCCACCGCGCCGTGCACCGCGGCCAGGTGTGAAGCGGTGCCGCCAGTTCGCCGCGTGCACCTGCCCGCGAGGCGTGAAGCCGGTGAGCACCCTGTGCCGCCAGCGGTCCTCCGAGGGTCTTGGAGTGGCCCACGGTGCGCCGCGCGCACCACGGGGCCGTGCAGCAGCTCGCAGCAGAGCGCCGTGAAGCAGCCCCACGTAGCGGCCGCCGCGCTAACTACGGGCCTCAAAAATACTCACCGCGTGCCACTGCGCCGCTTCTGCGCAACGCGCCGCAGCGCCCCGAAGCAGACGCCGCTCGACTAAGCTTCTTTTCTTTTTTACCGACTCTTATTTCTCTCATCACCCTATGGAATTATGATCGGAACAGTTTTTCCTATCGCCTCGTGCATTTGATTTCTTTAATGTGGTCCTCGCTGTTGATAAACACAAGTTCCGTGCCGGCTGTCTGCAGGCTTTAGCCTCGAACCCAAAGCCGACGGAGCGCAACAGGTTTTTAGTGTTTTTAACCGTGTATCAACTTTTCCCGAAGAGAAAAAATACTGCGAGACGTTTTTAAAATGATGAATGCAACCAACTTTTCTTTTCGGCGCGTTCAAAATCACTCGCAATCTCGCTATGAGAGAAACGCGCCCGGGAGGTTCGCTGTGATTCGTCTAAAATACCGATTTTTGGCCAATGAGCGAAAAGCGCGCGAAACCCCCTCCCCGCCGGCGGGAGGAAAAGGGGAGGGGGTGGTGGATAAATTGAGGCGCGCCGGCCGGCCGGCCACTTGTTGTGTTTTCGCCGTCACCGTCGTACTGCCTACCGAAGATGAGTCGTACTCGACGTGACTGGGACTTCAAACGCGCGCGCATCGAGAGCAGCAGCAGCAGCAGCGAGGACGCCGTGGACGTCCTGACCATCGACGACAGGGAGATGTTGGAGGAGGACCTGTTCATGGTGAGTAGAGTGCGTGATTCTCGTAGGGCGAAGCTCCACCTGTTTGTCCTCCCGGTGCGATAACCTCGCTCGGTAGGATTTTTCTAAGGCGGAAGCTATGCCCGATTTCGTACCGGTGCGAGGCCGTTCGACTCTCTGTAGAGCCGCGGCGTTTCCTCGCACCGTATTTTCTTTTTCAAATCGGTAACCTCCAAATTTATTTTTCCCCTTTCCCGCTCTGTTGAGTGTAGTGTTCGTTCAAACCGCGTCATGTTTTATTTTGTCTGCCTCGCCCGTGCCGCGCCACGCCGTGCGGGCAGGCTGTGTCCGTTACGTTCAAAACCCCGTCTTGTTTTAACTTGTCGTTGGCCGCCGGGCCCGGGGTTCCGTTTGTCCAGCGCGCGCTTCTCGGAATCGCGCCACGCCACGCCGGTCATGGCGGCTGTGCTGCACCGCGCCGCGCAGTAGATTGTGTCCTAACTCTCGTTCTTGATCTCCGTCATGCTCCCCGTGTCCCCGCCTCGTTGAGGCGTTTCCGCGAGCGTGGGAAACCTTTCCGCCGGCGGCCGGGGGGCAGTCAGACTGCCCCCGCCGACTCGCTCCTCTCGCACCTCAGGCTGGCTGTCGGCTTGCCCGCCGCCCCTCCCCTACATGTACCGGCGCTGCGCGGTGCACGCTGGGCCGGGGGTTTGAATCCCAGCCGTGTCGCGCTCGGTATAGTTAGTCTTACTGGTGAGTATAGTTCGTCCATGTGGGTGGGTGGGAGTGACGCTGCCATGGAGGCCCCCTCAACGTCTGTGTAAGTCAGCTGCCTTGCGCAGCCCAACAGTGCTTGCTTGCTTGCTTCTGAAATTCTCGCTAAAGCATGTGTTTTTTCTTTTTTGAAGTTTTTGAAGCTTTCCCTCATGCTGTACGTTTCCACGTGTATTCAGTGCTAAAGAAATTGAATACAGTTTGAATCGTACACCGTGATTTTGCACGCCAATCTGCGGTTCCACTGAGAACGGCCGGGGAATGGCATGTGATTTTCTTTGGTTTTGCCGTGAAACTAATCGTTTTAGAGGCATTTTTTTTTAAAAAGTCCGATCGTGGAACACGACCCATGCCGATTTCCCCATTTTTGGTCAAAGGTAGTCCTTGTGGGTCTAAGAAAGGCCACAAATTTTTTTGGGGCCCAAATATGCACCGTTCAGATTTTATGGGGAATTTTCGTTTTCTCTGACAACTTTTCACATAATATGGCCAAAAATTTAAAAATCACCCTTTTTGAGGCCTCTATGCACTCGATTGAGCTCAAAAAGTGGTATCTATGTAAAATCACGCGAGGAACACGAATCCGGTGCCCGTTTGTTGATAGGACAACCCAAACAGATGTTATGACTGTTTTTTAGGTTTTGTAGTGGTTTTTACTTTTCTTGGGTTTTGGTGTTCGCATCGATTTTCGCCAATCCGATGAGGTTTTATAGATAAAAGGGCCAATCTATATACTACGAGATAAAAAATTTGTGTACGCCGCGTGAAAAACAGTGGCGCTGCAAAAAATTTAAAAACCGTCATTTCTGGGGAGTTTTAGATCAGATAAGCCACCTTTCGCGTGACCGTCTCCCCCCCATATTCAGTCTAAATATTGTCCCAAGTGATGTCAGAGTTGGTGTGAAATTTCACCGCTGTAGCTCAAGTAGTTTGGAAATGGCAGCTTTCTAAAGTTTTGCAATCACGTAAGGCATTTACTTAAGTAGAATTGCGGTAAATGTGAAGATTTGTCACAGATCGGGTAATAAATGAGATAGATGAGTGCGTCAAAGTTCTTTAAGCGTAATTTTGGACAAGGAATCCGATTTTGCGGGTACGAAGACCCTAGGCGAACTCTGAAGTTGGAAAAATGGCCATTTTTATGTGGTTCGCACGAAAACGTAGTTTTAGAGTACACCTAGGGCCTTCGTACCGGCAAAATCGGATTCCTTGTCCAAAATTACGTTTAAAGAACTTTGACGCACTCATCTATCTCATTTATTACCCGATCTGTGACAAGTCTTCACTTTTACCGCAATTCTACTTAAAGTAAATGCCTTACGTGATTGCAAAACTTTAGAAAGCTGCCATTTCCAAACTACTTGAGCTACAGCGGTGAAATTTCACACCAACTCTGACATCACTTGGGACAAATTTAGACTGAATATGGGGCGGAGACGGTCACGCGAAAGGTGGCTTATCTGATCTAAAACTACCCAGAAATGACGGTTTTTCAATTTTTGCAGCGCCACTGCTTTTCACGCGGCGTACACAAACTTTTTATCTCGTAGTATGATAGATTGGTCCTTTTATTATAAAATCCACTCATCGGATTGGCAAAAATCGATGCGAACACCAAAACCCCAAGAAAAGTAAAAACCACTACAAAACCTGAAAAACAGTCATAACATCTGTTTGGGTTGTCCTATCAACAAACGGGCACCGGATTCGTGTTCCTCGCGGATTTTACATAAGATCCCACTTTTGAGCTCAATCGAGTGCATAGAGGCCTCAGAAAGGTGATTTTTCAATTTTGGCCATTTATGTGAAAAGTTGTCAGAGAAAACGAAAATTGCCCATAGAATCTGAACGGTGCTTTTTGGGCCCCAAAAAAATTTTGTGGCCTTTCTTAGACCCACAAGGACTCCCTTTGACCAAAAAATGGGGGAAATGGGCATCGGTCGTGTTCCACGATCGGACTTCTTAAAAAAATGCCTCCCCACCCTGGGGGTTTTCAGCCCTCTCGAGCGGAGATGAGGATGCGGGCCCCTTCGCCACCCCGGCAGCGGATGCGGCCGATGAAACTGCCAGGGATGCGTGGGATGCGGTGCCTCCTGCAGCGGCAGTGCCGCCCCCGCCGGCCGACTGGCTGGCGCCTTTGCCGCAGGGGTCACCCCCTCAACAGCCCCCTTTGCCCGCGGGGACGCCACCTCCGGAAGCGCACCCGCCGCTCCCTTATCCCCCGGGGACACCGAGGGAGGAACCTGAAGTGAGTCCTTTTCACCCTATTTTTTATTACAGTGCACTTGTTTTCCTCGCTCCTGATTCACGTTCCCTTAACTGCACTTTTGTTTCCGTCAAAACTGCAAGTAAGGGTTCATGTGCGAGAGGGTTCTAGTTAAATCTAACGGAATTGGTTTTGTGTTTCAGGATGATCCTGAGAAAGAGAACAGAGCGCCTCCACCCTCCCCGCCCTCGTCACCTGCGCACAACGAGAACTGCACGGCGGGGTCCAGCTCAGGCAGCACTGACGAAGACGTGGAGGTCGCAGACCTGGCACCAACGCGCGATACCGCTGCACTCGAGTTTATGTCTGATTGGCTGGCCGCCTGCAGGATGCCGCCTCCAGCCCCACCGTCGGCGCCTGCTGCTAGTGGTCCAGTGATGGCACGGCGTGTACCGCTCCATCCACTGGCTCCCTACAAGGATGATGGGGTGAGTGTCTGCATTTTTTCTCATCTCTATTTTTTTCACCCTCCCCTTTTTCACGCTAGAATTTCGAAAATTTCAGTCGGTTTCTTTACCGCCCACCCCCCCACCGTCGCCCCCGCCTCCCCCTCAGCCCGAGCCATTGCCACAGTTCCCCGACGGGGTGGCGCCTGGCGGGGCTCACCCTGTAAGCACTTTTTTATTCTCAAGCAGTGCTGCGTTTCCCCTTATGCTCGTGATCCCCTCTATATGTCTAACCGCTTTTGTTCATCTGTTCTCAGGTTCCTACGCCTTGGCTTGGTAGAAGCCGTTACGATCCGCTAGGGCTTTCAGAGCCCACCCCAGCCTGTCCCGCCTCCACGCCGCCTGGCCCTGCCCCAGCGCCTGCAGCGAACGCATCTACATCCAGTACCCCAGCCACAGTCCCTTCACGATCCGTGCCGACTACATCTCCTGCCGTTGACCCTACCTGGGCCCCTTCACGAACGGCGTCGAGAGCTACCCCAACCATTGGCCGTCCCCAGGCGCCCTCTACAGTGAGGACTCCAATTGGCTTTCCCCCTCCGCCTCAACGTGGCCGCTACCATCTTCGTGGTCGCCCTGTGGTCAGGCCGATGGGACCAACTATCTTCAGCAGACTAGGACCCCATCCATCTTCCATGCCTATGGTGGAAGGGACCAATCCCGTTCCGTATCCGCACTCGTGGAGGCGATCTGCATGGCCGCCTTACTTTACCGTGAGGGGACCACGGCCAGGCACTTACTGGTCATGGCGTGGCCCTCTTCAATAGAGTAATAATCTTCTTCAGTATCTGTTCTATGATCTAATAATTTTTCAGTTTTGTTTGTTATGGCTCTCAATATGTGAACTAGAATCTAAAAAACTTGCTCTCTCCAATTTAAACCTTCTTCATTCTTACTTCATGAGAATCTGTACTATGATCTCATAATTTTTTCAGTTTTGTTTGTTATTGCTCTCTCCAATTAAAACCTTCTTCATTCTTAACTGTGTTTCTTTTCCTTGCTTCCTTTCCTGTACTTTTCTAACGAGTCACATTTATGAGACAGAACTTCTCTACGAGTTAACTTTCTTTGAGTCAAACCTACTCTTGATTTCAAATTCATTTTCTTATTCGCTTACTATATAACTTTTTCTGATTCAACTTTTCGACTCTGCTTGACACACTTGAAGCTTTTCCGAAGAAGAGTTACGAGTCAACTGATTGAAATAATTTCAGCTACGCTTTCAGTAAAAGTATTCCATTCTTTAACAGTACACTTAAGTTCAACTGAGATGAGCAAAAAAGACAGTGAGAATACCAAACTTCTTTGCTCGCCACCTGACCCGAAACTTCTGAACTTCTTTTCACTTCAGCTATGTGTGTGAGAGAGAGTGTGTGAGTGTGTGTGGGAGAGTGTGTGTGTGTGGGAGAGTGTGAGTAGCGAGAGAGAGAGAGAGAGGGAGGGACATAGACACCCTCTGGCCTGGGGGCGCCTTGTGGTCCCTGGATAGGCAGACCCGCCACACGGTGGTGTGCGAAGGGTTGCCTACCCTCAACTCGGCAGGCGCTCCAGCCGCGCGTCATTGTCTCCAGCTCTGAGTCCCGGTGCACGGCGCGGTGCACGGCATGGCCATGAGGAGCCCCGCTGCATCCTGGCGCACACCATGGTCGTTGGCAGCGAGGTGCACCCGGAACAGAGCACGCCGTCGGCGAGGCGGCTGTCATGGCCTCGGTAGGGAGCAGAGTCCCGGTGCGCGCCGTCGGCGAGGTGCTCTGCAGCACGCCGGGGCCCTCGGCGCCCCCGCCAAGGCCGTCAACACACCACCGCGGCACAGCGCCGCGCGGCCGCGCGCCCACCATGGTCGTTGCCAGCGAGGTGCACCCGGAACAGAGCACGCCGTCGGCGTGGCGGCCGCGGCAGGGTGTCCTGAGCAGAGTCCTGGTGCTCACCGCTGGCACACTGCAGCACGCCGGGGGCCACGGCGCCCCCGCCAAGGTCGTCAACACAGCGCCGCGGCGCGTGGGCATGCGCTGCGCCAAATGACTGAGTACTTGTCATGCACTCACTTTTATTGCAATGAGTCGCACCAGTGGCGCTCTCTCAGCTATTTGGTGGTCAAATTCGGTACTTGGTCTGCGCATGCGCAATGTGGTGCGGCGCGGCGCTGCAGCGCCACGCGCGCCGCCTTGCGGTCGAAATGTGAACTTCTCGCTCCTGATAAAAAGCAAGCCGATTTTCAGAGCGGCACAGTCACTTGAGTTCTCTCCAAGCAACCAGTCCTCCTAACTTATTCCCTCTGTCTCTTCAAGACTTAAAACTTGTACTTAGCCTAAAAAATGGCTCTTAATGAGATACTTGATGAGTATGAAGCCGGATGCTTCTATAATGATGAATTGTTGGCCGAAGGATACTCAACACTCATAGAGTGCCTTCGCACGGCCACTCCCGCGGAACGCAGTGACCCCCGACTACCTGCATTTCTCAAAGCGGGTTACATGGCTCTCCTCCGGGAAAAATCAAAGTCAAACAAGCTAGATGCTCAAATCCATCAAATCGCACTTAAATTGGCCCGCCCTGCCCCTTCTAGTCCTACCCCGCCCACCGCGGCCCTGGACATGGTCGGTGGCTCCAAACCCACTCCGGCCCGTCCCGCCTCACCGCCGCTTGGCCCCGCGGAGTCCCCGCGCCCCCCCGCCACGCCGCCCGGTATGCCCACCCGGAAACGCGCCCGCTCGCCGGAGCCCGCGCCGGAACCGGAACCCGAACCCGAACCGGAGCCCGAACCGGAAATCGAGATCCTACAAACGCGGGAACGGCATCTGAGCCGATTTAAAACCACATTTCGCGAGGAAACGGCAGTCATAAACTAGGGGTACGCACCGTTTAGTTTGGGCGCGTAGTAGGCGAGCGATGCGTCTGAACACATTCTTATCGAAGATGGTGAAGAATATGTGCAAAATAAGGCCAATACGGGGTCTTCCATAACAAAAGGGCCGGTCTTAATGTCATTTTCGTGATCAGCACACCAAATACTGCAGGAAACTATGTAAAACTCAACTTTAAAATTTTGGTCCAAAATTGGTAAATTTTGAGAAAAGTAAAGGTCTGGGATGAAATTGGAAGTCATTTTCGTGATCAGCACACCAAAAACTGCAGGAAACTATGTAAAACTCGACTTGAAAATTTTGGTCCGAAATTGGTAAATTTTGGGAAAAGTAAAGGTCTGGGATGAAATTGGAAGTCATTTTCGTGATCAGCACACCAAAAACTGCAGGAAACTATGTAAAACTCGACTTGAAAATTTTGGTCCAAAATTGGTAAATTTTGGGAAAAGTAAAGGTCTGGGATGAAATTGGAAGTCATTTTCGTGATCAGCACACCAAATACTGTAGGAATCAATGACTCACCGAGGAAATTTTGGCCCAAAATCATGTAATTCTAGTTGAATAAGTATGGGTCTGCTGTTGTTAACATGAACGCAATTTCTAAGTGTGTTTCCTGTTCACGGTGTAGTACCATGAACCCTGACCCTGTTACTCAGTCGAGTAACATTCAACTGCCAGCATTGAATTGCTTAATACGATTCACAAATGCCTCAATTACCATTCGATATCTCCTTGTTGTTGAACTTATGAATACGCAATGTTATTAGTAATACCTATAAAGCCTTTTATCTTCCTTTTATTTTAAACTAGCGGATGAAACTATATTGATTTATCTGAATTAATTAAAAAGAGACACATTTACAGGCAGGCTGATCACAACTACTTTACGGAGAAGACCTTCTATCAGACCCACTGAATCGTTCCATAGAATCCCATGTCGAGCCCACTTTTTGCTAAACGCAAGTTAATCTTATTCATAATGATAGTCATGATGTGATATTTAATCTTTGAAACAGTATAGCATAAGTATTTACCTAACATTCTAAGTAAATTAAAAAGAGAGCCAACTAAAACCATGACCGACACAAATTACCAGTTGTCGCAGACAATGTATTGTGGTGATACGGCTTTTGAGCCTTCCACCACCCTTTCTGTGCACTAAGTCAGGAGCTCCAAATATCCACCGCGGCGATACCCCGCGCGTAGATCCAGCGCGCCGCGCCCAGACGCGCGGCAGCGATACCCCGCGCCAGCAGCGCGCCGCGCCTCCACTGTAGCGCGCCGCGGGCGATCGCGCGACCCGATCGTGTGCGATCGAGACCGATCGAGAGCCGAAGCGGTCCGCCGGGCTGACCCCGAAGCTGAACCCGAAGCGGGCCCGAAGTCCTCCGCCGGGCCCTCGGCCCGCGACCCCGAGACCTCCGCGACCCCGAGCGGTCCGGTCACTCTGAGTCCAGCGGTAGCAGCGGCTAGTCGTCCTCTCTGCTCACTCGTCCCGCGTCGTGTCTCTGAGACCTTCGCCCCGCGTACTGTACTTGTACTTGCTCTGAATGATTACTGATTGTCTGTACCTGAATAAACCTTGAGTTTACTAGCCATACCTCCTACTCTCTCTTCGGTTCACCTCCCCAAACCCGCACCCTCACAGTATGATGAAGTTAAAAGAATCGTCTCATGAAATCATATGATCAAGTCACTGAATCGTCTCATTGAATCAGATGTCAATGTCAAACCTTGTATGCGCTACACTCACTCACCGTATGGTTATCTTTAAGGTTAGTACTATAGTAAACTTACAGCATTGTAATGAAGCCTTTTCTCAGAGTCTGTGCCAAGAGTCAGCAAAGACTATTTATTTTCGCAACATTAGTGTCCAGAGTGTACTTATAGAATGTATTAATTTATTTTCTAACTGTTATTTGAGCAAAGCAAACAACTAAAAAGTATAGTGTCTGAGAATAAAAATGGAAATACACTCACAAAGGTTAAAAAGACCAAATCATTTTTGCAATTATCAAACACACTCCACTGACCAAAACATTTCCTCTGTAGCGGTGTAGCGGGGGAGGGGAGGGGGCGGACGGACGGACGAAACGCGTAATAATTGTCACTTTCATTTTCCGTATTTCACTGAGTTGACACTCCGGAGGGGTTTCAATCATTCTAAAATATCGAAAAACTATGACCGTACTCACTTCTAAGCCCTTCTGCTCTTTAGTTTGTTTTATTTGCCAATGTTTTGCCAGGTCCCGTATTTGAGAGTCGCGGCCGCAAGTATGAAAAATTGCTACGAGCTGCCAAGCACTGCCAACCTAACCACGCTAAGAACCTAATTCAAAAAGATGTTTTGAATATTTCAAACAATAGTTATCGTGAATATAAGATAAACTCCCCCTGGGGGAGATTTAGGAGCCTTCCGGTGCGAAATTTTGAAACTATTTGTGCGGTAGTTGCTGAGGAACGTGAGCGTGTACGCTACAGACAGACAGACGCACGACCAGTCACTTTTTGGTGCCCCCAAACACGGCATGGGCTCGCTATCGCTCGCCAAAAATCTGGGAAACGAACTACCCTCTGAACAATTCATGGAGGGAATGTTCGATACATTGCTTGCCCGTCAGAGGGAAGCCCTGAATGCTAAAGATGACGACCGAGTCATCCTGGAATTGGAGAGCGGTGAAAATGTAGACAAGCCCATTTGGCAGTCGCTGAGGCGAGTGGACCAACTGAATGGCAGAGTCATTCTTGACAAACTAACAAGGGTGCTCAATAGCAATGAAAGTTTTCTAACTAATGGGCAGTTGAGGGTAAATTACATTCATGTCCCCACTCCTGAGGCAGGCGGCGCACGCGATGTCGTTGTCCCCAATGAGAGAATAGACCAGTGGTTGGAGAGAAAAATAGCCAGAAAAACAATATTTTCTCCCAGCAACACGGAGGATCAAATGTGTCTGACTCGAGCTGTGGCTGTGGCCATGACCAAAGACGGAATGCAGCATAGAGCATTCTCCCGCATGAGGCAGCCCAACTCCACCATCCAAACCAAGGAGGCCAAAAAAATTTGTGAATTGTCTGGTATTGACCCGAATCAGCCATGCGGGGTAGACGAAGTTAGAAAAGTTCAGAATGTGCTTAATGACTACAGACTCTGCGTTTTCACAGACAAGAAAGGAAAAGAGTGTGTGTTTAAGGGGGAGTACACGGTCGGTAGAAAAAATATCTACTTGTTGCTTCACAACGGACACTTCCACGCCATTCTTTACCCCCTCCAAGCATATGATTCCAAATATGTATGTGAAAAATGTGTTGTATTTTACGCTAACAAAGGAGAACACCAATGTGAGGGTAGTTGCTGGCGGTGCCTCGGCGCGCAGCCTCACTCCGAGCCCCTTCAGCGCTGCGGTGATTGTGGTCATAAATTTGCTGGAGATGAATGTTTCGACAACCATAAAAGTCTTAAAATTCAAAACACAGACAGGACCAAATGTGACACATTCAAATTCTGTCATGGATGTGAAACTAGTTATTCTAACGCTAGGGGCCGCCAACATGTCTGTGGCTTTGTGTATTGTAAATTCTGTAAACTTAACGTTGCTGAGAACCACCTCTGTTACATGCAAAAATGGCAGCCACGTGAAAAAAAGGAGAAATATAATTTTTGCACAGTCTGGTATGACACAGAGGCATCTCAACATACTGAAATAAAACCGGGAGTATTTGAACACCGCCCCGTGCTCCTTGTCTCACAGGCTGTCTGTGACGAGTGTCAACACATTCAGCAAAATGATTATTTCTGCACAGTGTGCGGGACACGACAGCAAGTCTTCCATAACCTTGATGACCCTAATATTAATGTCATGTCCCAATTTGTAAATTATCTTCAGTCATTCCCAGCCAAGACTGAACTTCTCATCATTGCGCATAATGCCAAAGCTTATGATGGCATTTTTTGTTCTTCAAGAGCTGATTGCTCGAAAAATGAAACCCGATCTGATTTTGCAAGGGGCTAAAATTATTTCCATGTCTCTAAATTCATGGAAATTTATTGACAGTCTGATGTTTATCTCCATGCCCCTTTCCGCTATGCCCAAAGCATTTGGGCTCACTGAACTGAAAAAGGGTTATTTTCCATACTTTGCTATTCACCCAGACAATTTCTCATACAAGGGTCCTTTATTGAACCGTGAACTTTACGGTGTGTCAGGAATGAAGTCACAGGCAGCCATAACCTTCAATAAATGGTATGATGAGCAAAATGAGCAGGGAGTAATATTCAATTTCCGTGAGGAGCTCATCTCCTATTGCATTTCTGACGTGACCATCCTTCGTCAATCTTGTCAAGCATTCAGAAAACTGTTTGCAGAGACTGCAGGTTTTGATCCTCTTTTTCAAAATTTGACGCTTTCGGCCGCATGTCTTTCTGCTTATCGTCTTAATTTCATGCCGGAAAACAAGATAGGACTTGTCCCCCCTGGAGGCTATCATGGCAGGGGTAAGCAAAGCCACGTCGCATTGCAGTGGTTAGATTATGAGCAGCACAAATTAGGTCAAAAAATTAAGACCATTTACACTGATAGAGAGGTTATGGTGCTAGGTCGCTCTGTGGATGGTTATGTGGAGATCCCCCTTGCTAATGACGGTGTTGAGCGCCGCATTTACCAATTTCATGGTGACTATTGGCATTCCTGCCCATGCATTACCCTGCGCAGCCTGAGGGTGGAGAAAACCGCTATGAACGCACTCTGCGTATCACTGGTCTGTTCCGTAAGGCAGGTTATGTCGTCATTGAGAAATGGGAATGTGAATGGAAAGAGGACCTCAAAAACCCAGAGGTAGAAGCCTATTTTGAAGCCCACCCCACCACCCGCATGCCTCCCCTTGATTTGCGCAAGGCGCTCTGCGGCGGTCGCACCAGCGCGCTCCGTATGTATCACAAGGCAGACCTTGACAAGGGAGAGAAGATAATGATGGCAGATATTATATCAAGTTACCCGAATGTGAATCTGAGGGCTTGCTACCCTCTTGGTCAACCATCTATTTATCTGGAGGGTGACCCAAATATTCCTGCCATTGACGCTTGGAATGGAGTAATTAAATGTACAGTGCTTCCTCCCCGAGATCTGTACCTTCCAGTGCTTCCCTTTAAGTGTAAAGGAAAACTGATGTTCCCACTCTGTGCGACGTGTGCTGAGACAGAAAGCAGTGAAATTTGTCAACACACTGACTCCCAACGCCAACTTACGGGTGAATGGTGTGCTCCAGAGCTCCAGTTAGCCATTCTAGAGAAAGGGTACACTCTTATCACTGTCCATGAATTATGGCAGTACCCATCCACTATGCAATATGATCCCAAAACGGGAAAAGACGGCTTGTTCTCAGGTTATGTCAGGAAATTTATGGCACTGAAAATTCAGGCCAGTGGATGGCCAACAGAGTGCGACACTCAACAGAAAAAAGAGGAATATTTGTCTGATGTTAAGAAGCATGATGGTATTGCTATTGACCCCACTAAAGTGGCCAAAAACCCTGCACTCAGAACTCTGTCAAAATTAATTTTAAACAGCTTTTGGGGAAAGTTTGGGGAAAAGACTCTTCGTGCGAAAACTGAACTTATCTATGATTATGCTGACCTCATGAAACTAGTGACAGACCCTACTAAAGAAGTGACTGCCCTCCTTCCCTTAAGTGAAGACTGTCTTCAGGTAACTTATAAACCTGTAGAAGACAGCGAGGTAACACTTCCTACTTCTTCCCTCTCGCATGCAGCTTACACAACGTGTATTGGTCGACTCAATTTGTACAAGTACTTGGACATCGTTGGACAGCGCGCCTACTATCACGATACCGACTCAGCGGCTTACCTGAGTCGTCCAGGCGAGCCTGACCTGCCCCTGGGCACACATCTGGGTGATCTCACTGACCAGATTGCGGAGGACTATGGTCCGGGTTCGTTTATCACAGAATTCGTGGCTGGCGGACCAAAAAATTATGCTTACAAGGTGGCAGTGGGAGGTGACGTTTCTAACCTCAAAGTGTGCATTAAGGTGAGGGGAATAAGCATTAACCAATCCTGTGAGGATCTTGTCACTTTTGACAACTTAAAAGCCATGGTCTTAGGTGAGGAAGAAAAGAAGACTATCCCCATTCACCGTCAGATTACCAGACTACCTGGCTGTGTGGCAAAAAGCTACGAAACTGTAAACAGCTAATTCTCCGTAGCACTTATCACTCCAGGCTTACAGTATCCGTAGGACTACAGTATCTCCGTAGGACCTTACAGTGATCTCAGGACTACAGTCTTCCAGGTTCACGATAAGACTGTGCACTTACAGAAATACTGTGCCCCAGAGATACTGTAAATCCTACGGAGAATCTGATAAAGGCTACGGAGAATCTGTCAAAAAACAGAATATATCCGTACCTTTTTGCCACAGTGTGAGATTGTCCCCAGAGCTACAGCAAAACTGCAAGCTAAAATACTAAAAGGCGGCGCCTTGACTTTGCCCACGTTCCACACGGCTTCACGCATGGGCTGACGTGGAAGATGAGGATCAAGAAATGATGGAGGTTCTTGATCTTCTTGGTGACAATTAAATATAAAACTAATCATGAAAAACAAAAAAAATAAGATTGATTTACAAAGTCTGATGGACCAGTATGTCCTTAAACAGCCTTAAATCTACGAGACACCGGAGACCGGGGAGCTGGTCTGGCCCCATAACCTATAAAAGCCAATGTATTTTGATTTTCAATTCATAGCATAATGACTTCTGAAATGGATCTGAAGTACCAGCATCCTTGCACTGCCCTCATTGTGGGCGGTACGGGGGCGGGAAAGACATTTTTCATGAAAAAACTGATTGAAAAAAGGGAGGTTATGTTTGACACTGTCTTTGAAAAGATCATATTTTATTATTCTGAATGGCAACCACTCTACGAAGAGTTGTCTTCATGTGTCGATTTTCGACAAGAATTACCTTTCATGAGTGATCACCCGACAGGCGAGGGCCCAAAATTAGTGATTATTGATGATTTTTTGGAAGAAATTAAGTCTCATGGAAAAGAACTCCTTAAATTTTACATAAAGGGGTCACATCATAGGAATCTATCTATTTTCTTTTTGAGCCAATCCCTGTTTCCTGATGGGCTCAGACAAATTAGTTTGAACTCCCACTACATTACATTATTTAAAACTTCGCGAGACTTAGCCCAAATTAGAACATTTTGCTTGCAAGTGGACCCCCTACACTGGAAAGCCCTTCTTGAAGCGTACCAAGACGCAACACAGGCCGGCCATTCTTACATTCTGTTCGATTTTCATCCCCGTCAATTGGATCACCTCAGAATCAGAACCAAGATTTTTCCTGACGAGTCCTGTGTCATTTACATCCCCAAAGCAAAGTATAAAAGAGACCTACAAGGGATGGTTTAATCATTGCTAAATAATGGCTCCTAGTGTGCAGTCACATCGTGCTGTCCTGCAAGTCCTTCAGTCGGCCAAACCTAACCTCCGTAAAGCGATTCTGCGTGAATCAGATAAAGCGATCATTTTCGCTATTTGTGAGATCATTGACAATCTACTTCTTGGGAACATACCCCTCAGTCCGGCACAAAAGTCCAAACTCAAGCGGTACCGCACGGACTTTCGCCGTTTAGTACAAAAGGGTGAGGGCTGGAAAGCCAAGAAAGAACATCTTGTTCAGAAAGGAGGTGCCTTCCTTCCCTTGTTACTTTCGATTGTTGCTTCCGTACTCCCTAGCCTTTTCAAATGAATCACGTGAAAAAAATGATTCTCGTGCCACATGACAGTGTGGCGCGAATGAATGACCCCACTCCCTCTGTCTCCCATACTCAAATGAGTTCAATGGACACGGAAATGAACTATATTTTACGCAAACAGTACGCAGATGACTCTGAAAAATGGAAAAAATACAATGAGGTGCTTCAACGCTTCCTCCACTTTTCCAAAGAGTCCAGCAAACCCATCTCATTGGAAATATCTTCTATTCTTGAAGACAAAGAGGAAAAAGAGAATCCTAACCCTACTTCGGCTATCAGGCAGCAATTAGCTTCCGTGCTCCCCAAAACATATAAAGACCAAGCTGTTAAAATTCATGATTATTTAGCAGTCAGTGGTTCACCCGTCAGTTGGGATAACAACGGAGTCGTCTCTCTCAAGGGAACCGCTATTCCACATTCTAATATTATTGATTTGATTTCTGATCTGACTCGTTTTCGAAAGAATTTTGAGCCACACGGCGTTACTCAGTTCATTCAAACCCTCGCCCAATTAAACCTTCCTCTTGACTTGATTGGTAACGAAAAGAGAAGAACAGCTATTCTTCAAGCCAAACAGAGTGGTGGTAGTCTTGTTGTCACTCAACCTCCATTAAAAAAGCCAAAAAAAGAAATAAAAACTATAAAAGTTGTTCCCCAAAAAAAGCATGCCTGGAAAACTTGGTGATATTTTCCATGATCCAAAGCACCCTGCTTCGTATAGTTCAGCATGGAAACTTTGGCAAGCCAGTGGGGAAAAGAAAGAGAAAGTAGATCAGTATCTTCAGGGGGAAGATGCCTACACACTGCACAGACCTGTGAGACGGAATTTCCTTCGTAATGTCACTTATGCAGATAATATTGATGAATCCTGGCAAACTGATTTGACAGACTTAACGGCTCTGAAACAAGATAATGAAGGACACACATTTGTATTATGTGTAATTGACGTGTTTTCAAAATTTGGATGGGCTATTCCTCTTAAAAATAAATCAGGTGCATCCATAGTCAAAGGTTTTGAAACTTTGTTCCAAACCACTCCGCGGCGCCCAGTGCGCCTTTTCTCGGACAAAGGAACGGAATACAAAAATAAGATTGTGCAGCAGTTTCTTAAGAAACACAGCATCACATATATTTCCACGAATAACCCTGACACTAAATGTGCCGTAGTAGAGCGTTGGCAGAAAACAATTAAATCAAAATTGTACAGATATTTCACTGCAACTGAAAATTATTGCTATGTGAATGGTACACTGGAAAAAGTAGTGCATGCCTATAATCACACGTATCATAGATCTATCAACATGAGGCCTGTGGATGTGACCGAAGAAAAAGTACTGGAGGTATATAATAACCTGTACCATGGAATGAAACTCACAAACAAAAAAACGAAGTTTAAGGTAGGTGACTATGTCAGGATCACCCGAGAGAAAAAAAAGTTCGAGAAAGGATATACATGGGGCTGGTCAGAAGAAGTCTACAAGGTCATTCAGGTCATTCCTCATGCGTTGCCGGTGTACCGCCTGGAAGACTTCGATTCAGATTCAATTTTGGGGACTTTTTACGAAAAAGAGCTACAGAAAGTCACGAAGCCGGAGGTCTTCAAAATCGCATATATAGTGCGATCAAAAGGGAAACAGAATAGTCGAAAGCACTTGGTGCACTGGAGAGGTTATCCTGAGAAAAGTCGTTCCTGGATTCTAGATTCTGATTTAATCAAAACATAATGGATTTCTATGCCTTTCTTCCAAGTAACGCTAGCCCCGAAATATACCCCCATAATAAAACATCTCATTTTAAAATAGAGCTCTCAAAGCGAATGGAGTTGCATGGCCAATGGCAGGCTGCTCTCATTGAGCTTCACTATCCAAACACGATCGCTCAAGTGATTGAAGGGGAAAACGAAATCACTTTGTTGGCGCCTGGCTCTGTGGACACGGTTTTTGTCAAACCCGGCTGCTTTCCTTCTAAGTCCGATTTTCTGGAGGCAGTAAACATTGCGGTGTCGGTCCTCAACAATGACATTGAGGGTGACCCGCCACTGACCGAAACGGCCGATCGCCGAGTCGAGTTTCAGCCCTTTCAGCCCGAAAGGCCCGATATGAAGGTCCACTTTTCCCCTCGCCTCGCATTGCAGCTCGGTTTGGACCACCACGGCCCTTACCCTGCAAACGAAAAAATTAGTGGCGTCAAGCCCGTAGAATTGAGTTTGGGCATTCCATCCAACTCTTTATTTACATGGACATTTTGTCTGATCAGATCATTGGGCACACGAGGGCCCCCATACTCCGCACGGTCCCAGTAGATATAAATGCACGGTTCGGCAGCATGACTATTTTTCACTGCGAGCATCCGATTTATTTCGACATAAATACCCGGTCGTTTGACACGATCCAGATAGATATAAGAGACCACGCAGGACGTTATCTCCCATTTGAACACGGGACGTTGACCTTACTGGTACACCCCGTAACAAAATGTTGGGGCCCGAAAAGCAGCCAAAAACAGCCGTTGGCGGACCGTCCGAAACGGCTCCGAAAGTCGGAACGCTGACGGTTCCTAAATCCGCCCGCGGACAGTTCCAAAAAACATTGAAAAAGACCAAAGTCAGAAGATCGGACTTGTCCTGAGTACAACGCTAGTCGAAACGGACATCCGACAACTGCCCAGCTGCTGCCCCTCGCCCCTCCCTTTCCCCCCCTTCCCTTTCCCTTCGGACGCAGGTTGCTTCGGCCGCCGGCCGGCCGGGGATTTTTCCGCGGGAGCGCGCCCTAGCGCCGGCTCGGCTCACCCTACCCGGCTCGGCAGGCCGGCCACCACTGCCGAGGCGGCTCGGCTCCGATCGGCTCGGCTCGGCTCGGGGCACGGTGGCCGTCAGACACTGCAAGGGACGCGATTTACAGCCTCCAGTGGAATATTACACACAAATTTTGATCATGCCTATACTGTAGCATACCTGCAAGTACATGCCTGCACAAGCGAACTCGTTGAAGCTGTTTGCAAATGATGGAACACTTGGGACGAGGGGAAAGAAGAGAGTGCGAATAAAATAATACACCTCCCACCCTCTCACACCAGTCCTTCAAGTTGGAAGACACCACACTTGCGGTAGCCAGCAGCCACGGATAGTTGTTTGTTTGGGACACTTGTACAGCAACGCACTCAAATTCGATTATGTTTAGAAAACGCCGTACACGACACTTCACAAAAAATACTCTAGAAACAGTCGCGAATCGCCTGAACATCGCTCCGAGAAGTACGACGAAAAGTAGATGTGACTTTGCGCGTTTTTCTATGTTCGCTGTCACAGATGCGCTGCTGTGCGATGTGACTCGCTCAACAGCGCGCCGAAAACTGGCGAAAACTGCATCTCTGGCCCTGGCCGCGCCCGCCAGGGCGCCAGGCAACCTCGGCGACCCTTCGGGCCTTCGGC